GGCGGGTAATGCTCGACTAAGGGGTGACTGCTATGGAGGGTCGACCATGCAAGGGAACAAGGGAACCTGGTATACTGGGCGCACCTAGATGAAGCATGCGGGGCTGCCTAACTAGGGTGTGAGGGCCGGCGAAGGGTAGAAAGATGATGGGTAAGGGAATCATGCAAATGACTCCTCAAGTGAGGGAAGTCGGAGCTAGATCCGTAAGATGGGAAGCCAGGGCAACGCTATGGTCCCGATGCCTATGCGTATACCAAGGGAGAGCCCAACTCAGAGGAACCCGGCTAAAGGGAGACCATCATGCGACACAAGCAGGGTACTGTACAGGGTAGAGTGGTAAGAGAGTGGCGACGTCTGAAGTAGGCAGAGCTGATCGTGATGAAGTCCATGAAGCCGCCGATGACGTCCAYGATGAGAAGTCCGGAATGCCGTCGAGGAAGAGCCGCAGCGTCGACGAGCTGAAGTAGCAAAACTGATGTGGATGGAGTACTGAGAAGTCAAAGACGTGGGAAGGTAAGTCATAGTCAATCGTCGTCTCGAGCAGGACGACGACGAGTGCGCTGTGGACGCTCAGAACCATCCGGCTGCTGCTAAGGTCTGCCTCAGATGGAGCAGGCTCGACTTCAGGAGAAGGAGGAGGGTGAGTGGGCTGAGGAGGAGCAGTGAACCCAGCACGACGAGCACGGTCATAGGCACGCACCAACATGCGAGCGTGCTCCAAGTGCTCGAGGGGCTCCCTGGTAGCCTCCTCATCAGGGTAACCCTTCCAACGTACGAGATACTCGACGTGGGGAGGGTTGTCGCCGGTGACTCGGCGACCAATGATGTCTGAAACGCGGAACTCCTCGTGGCCGTCCACCATGATAGGTGGAGGGCGCTCGTATGGTCATCCAGCGAAACGCTCAGACGGTCTGCGGTAAGGACGCAGTAACGAGACGTGGTAGACATCATGCACACAAGCCTGACGTAGGTAGTCGGGCAGCTTCACACGAAAGCTGACCGGGCTAGATGCCGTATCAGAACCGACGGCCTGGAGGATGCGGCATGGGCCAAAGAAGCGACGCCGAAACTTGCGAAGCGTGTCCGCTTCGAGCTGTAAGTGGCGGGCGTCGATAAGCACATCATCACCGACCTTGAATGGGTGATCCATCCTCGATCGGTTCGCATGTGCTGCCATGCGAGTCTGGGAAGCGGCTATGTGCTCATGTGCGGTCTTCATAATCGACGTCATGTGTGCAACCCAATCATCCAGCGCGGGACAACTCGTGTCGGGGTGCATCTGGGACGGTCGAAGGAAGTCCGCGGGAACACGAGGGTGATAGCCGAGGTCGCAATAGCAAGGCGACATCCCCGTGGCTGGCAAGACGGCGTGGTTGTAGGCTATCTTCGCGTGGGCAAGATGGAGAGCCCACTGCTGGTCGTCACGAACAATCTTTCGGAGAATATCCCCGAGAGTCTTGTTCGTGATCTTGGTCTGACCATCAGTCTGAGGATGGTAAGACGAGGAGAAGCGGAGCTGAGTGCCGTACACCTCGTGGAGCCGTCGCCAGAATCGGCTGGTAAAGCGCGGGTCACGGTCAGATATGATGCTCAGAGGTAAGCCGTGGTCACGCACGACTTGGTCAAATACGATGTCGGCGACCTCACGTGCACTGATGGCATAGCGACACGGAACAAAGCGTGCACGCTTCGTGAAGCGGTCGACGACGATCAGGATAGCATCATGACCGCAGGGGGTCGGAGGTCGAAGAGGACCGATAAAGTCCATCGAGATGGACTGCCAACGACCCTCAGGGATAGGAAGAGGCTGGAGCAAACCATAAGGTAGGTGGTTCCCACTGTTCACCTCCTGACAGGTGGGACACTCTGCGACGTAGTCCTTCACAAAGTCCTTGCGCTTCGGCCAGACGTACAGGCGGCTTACACGAGCCAACGTCTTGTGGAAGCCCATATGACCGGCAGCTGCCTGGTCATGGAACTCTGCTACTGCTCGGACACGTAGCTGTCCAGTGGAGGGAACRCAAATACGGGRCTCTCYGGTGCCCTGTGAACCGTGCCAGTACACAAGACCGTTGTCCCCGAGACAGTAGTTCGGGACGGTCTTGCCACTCCGAAGGGTCGCGTGGATGTCGCGATAGTCGGGGCAGTAGCAGTACTGAGTGCGAAACTCGTCGATCACCGAGTGGTGGACGGTGCTGACCGAGATGGAAGAGAGCTGGATGTGCTTCTGGTCGTGGTCAGGGCGCCGAGATAGGGCATCGGCGACCCGATTAGTCTCACCCTTGATGTGCTCAGTGGTGAAACTAAACTCGGATAGGTCGC